CAATAAAATGAATTAAAAGGCATATAGATTGATAAGTAAAAAATCTTCATGTGTCTGATTAACTCATTCTGAACAAAGTGCAAATGCAATTCAATGTAGTGAAACGACAGATATTCCAATAGATGGTGCTGGACATTTTGAGTTTTATATGAAAAAAAAATGAATCTCTATTCAAATGGACCAACAACCTAAATATAAAATCTAGAGCTATTAAGTTTTAGAGGAAAACAGACTTTGTCTTAGATTTGACCCCAGTTAAACTATACAGAATTTGATGAATTGTACCTGACCAAAATGAAGAACTGTTCTCTTCAAAAGACACAGTTAAGGGAACAAAATAAAGCTAAAGAGCCAAAAAACATATTTGCAAGGCATATATCTCATAAAGAGCCTATATCCAGTATAAAGAAAAAAAAACAATAAAAAAGCAAAAAATCCAATAAAAATAAAACGAAAAAAATAGATAAAAGCCAATGGATTTAAATCAACACTTTACCATCAAAACCATACAACTGGTAAACACATAAAAATGTTCAACTTGCTTAACCATTAAGGAACTGGAAGGCAAAATCACAAAGAGACACTCTCACCTGAGTATAAGGATGTCTAAAAAACTAATGATACTGAATCTTGGCAAGGATGAGGAGCAATGGTTATCCTCATTCATTGTTCATGAAATACAATATTTGAAAAACATTTTTTATTTTCTTAATATATAAGTATATATTATTTTATTCCTAAATATTTACCCAAGAGGAATGAAAGTAGAACATATGCATGTGAAAATAATTGGACATAAGTAATATATATTATCCCAAACTACCCAAATATCCATCAAGAGAGGAACAAAAAAATAGATCAGCAATTATTGGCACATTCACACATTGGAATACTATTCAGCAATAAAAAGAAACTAACCATTGATATATACAATAACATAGATGAATCTCTAAATAATTATGATGAATTAATGAAGTCAGATGATAAGAATAAATATTTTATGATTCCATACAAAATGTAAACTAGTCCATATTAACTGAAAGAAGATGTTAGCGTGGGGTTAGGGTGACAAGGATGGATAATGGGGGCAAAATGGAAACATGAAAAAAAAATTTGAGGGTGATAGATAGCTTCTTTTTGTCCATTATGATACTATCATGGGTATACACACATTTATAACATAAAATTTAATGCTTAAATAATGGGTGATTTATTGTGTACTATTTATACCTCAGTAAAGCTGTAAACATATATCAAAACATCATACTGAAACTTGTAAATATACACAATTGCTATTTATTTAAAATTAAAATTCAAAACAAAGACAATAATAAATTGGGAGCCCTTATCCTAGACAATTATAAACAAGTATAAATATTCAAATATACTATTGAAAAATTATGACCCATGAAAGGACCAATCTTCTCATTAGTAAATGTAAAGACTTGTTCAGTAATTATTGTATTAGTATTTTTGGAAGGAACAAAGAGAATAAGGAGATGAGATACAAACACTATTTTTGGTCACATATAAGTGGGGGAGAGACAAAATTGGGAGATGGGTTGAGAAAAGTAAGTAAAGCAATTTGAGACTTGTTAAGTCATTAAAATGGAACAACAGGCTGTTAAAATATGAAATCCAGGGCAGTAAATTACTTGCAAGTCAATAGGCTATAAGAAACTGTACAATGAGGATAATGATGAGAGTAAACAGATGGAAAGTGCATGAAGAGAAGGGAAGAAACCTTTACCTGCACCTTGCTTAACTGTGGCATTTAATATTTCTGCTAGGTCTAGCCCCAGATGGATTGCTTCATATTGCCATCTGTTACTTAATATAAGTCTAATTTAAGATTTGTTTTGCAGGAAAATTTTTAAAAATAGAAGGGAGATTTTGTGTATGCATGTTTGTATTTCCTTCAGTTGAGGTAACAACTTCTATCTTAACCATACGTAAGACCACAGTTTTGCAGAAACTTGCATTTTCTTTTATGCTAAAATTGTACATAGTGTGCAAACTGGTAGACCAGAAAAATATCAGAAATATTTTGTTGCTACACGAGAATAGTGAACTTTATCCCAATATATATATGGCATAGAAACTATCCAAATTTCAACACACATATATAATTTATACTGTATTGAATTATAAAATGAAGCAGAGGAAATTTGTTCTAAAAGATACAATTTTAATTAAATATATTAGAAAAGGGATATAACATTATTAGATTAGATAATGGAATGTAAATTTTATCTATTTTCTGACACATTTATAAACAGTGAATTTAGGTAAGGGATATTTTTCAGTATACATTTCTAAAGAAGCTCACCACATGAGATAGAGCTTCCTAAACTGGCACTGATTGTACCTTGGATTATTGCTAGTAATGGTTTTATGGAATACATATTTTAACTTTTTGTCTTTTTTTAAGGCCCCCAAACCTAACTGAAATATAGATCCTTTCAAAGCATTTTGCTAAGCTCTTGGTAAGTACAGCCTGTCTGTCTTCTTCTTGGTAAAGCTTTTGTGAAATTGCCAGCACACTCATGGATATTCTGAATACTGATGAGGAGCAACCTTTCCACTTTCAAGAGCACATCAGTCAGGAAGATAAATCCTACCCCATGAACAGTTCACTGGTAAGATTTAGTGGCAAATGTCACCAGACACATAAAAGTGTAAAAGCTCCATAGTTTTCAGAATTGTTAAATTTTAGTCCCCTTTTAAAAACAGGGTTTATTTTCTCTCAATTGATAAAAATCAAAGAGAAAAAAAATATTAGTATGTACTAAAAAGGCCAGTGAAGAATACTGGTAAACTTAAGTTATTTATATTTCTCTTAGGGAAGTTCTTTTTATTTGTCTCTTCTTTTTCTCTCTTGGCACCGTACTTGTTCTTTAGAACAACTATCATTGTTATAAGCAAATCTCAAATAGTTAGAAGAGAGGATTTTTGAAGATACTCACCATAAAGAAATGATAAAAGTTTAAGGCAATGGCTACTACACCTATCTTGAGGTTTAGTCATTATATACATGAATCAACATATCATAGTCTATCTCAGAAATATGAAAAATATTGTGTATTAATAAAAAATTTAAGCCATTTAAAAAATTTAAATTAAGTAAATAAATCAAGTTTCTTGCATTTAAATATATATCTATATTCCTAACAAAGTACTGATTAGAAGCCAGGTTTCTATGCTGCAAATTCATCCAAAACAGTGTTGGACTTAAACATGCTTTTCTTCCCGTATATATCAAAGCTATCATTTCATTTTCTTATTTGAGATTTTATTTTTAGTGGCTTAGAAGACTATAAGTCAGAGTCACAGTGAGTGAGAGTTAATTGGTGCCCAGACACAGGGCAGAGAATTCATGCAGCACAGTAGGAAAGCTGGCTGGCAGAAGCAGACAGCAAGAGCTTCAGAATTCTTATATCCATCAAAATTTATGAGGTCAGCAAACAGTGGAACTGTTTGTTGGCCTGATCTGTTATTTCTGTGTGTGGTGGTAAAAAGGCAAAAGTGTTTTGGTTTTTTGTTGTTGTTGTTGTTGTTGTTTGTTTGTTTGTTTTCAGAAACTTTAATTGTGTAATATTTAACAAATTTTCAATTTTCAATAAATGCAGAGTCTATTTACATATTAGCATGTACTTCAAAAGAATCTTTTGATTTCCTGCTCTAAACACATGGATATATAAATATTGGTATTTCCCTATGCATGGACCAGGCTGGGATATAGCACCAGCATGCAGTTGTGGGAGAGAGAGATTAATTCAGACCCCTGTCAGTGGGACCAGAGCAAGCCACCAAAGACTGTGGATACCACAGCCAAGTTTGATTTGAAGTTCTCAGGGACAAATGTGTCTGAGAGAGGAAAATCAATAAAAACTAGAAAAGTACTATGAAAAGTGGGTCAAATATGATTAAGAGTAGAAACTAGAAGAAATCCAAAGGCATTACATTTCATTTTTTTCTGTACTTGGGAAAGATTTGATGATTCTAAAATGCTAAGTAAGGCCATATATTCAAGGAAACAAAGGATACTTTTTCAAAAATTGATTTTTTCATCAGAATGTGATTTATTAACTACCCAAGAAGTTGAATTGAGCCATATGTGATCAGTCAATCTGCTTAATAAGGAAAATTGTTTTACTTCTCTTCCTTTGTTATGTTACACATATGAAAGCTAAATTTAGCTTTTGTCGACCTACTGCAAAAAAGTTCTAAAATGACATCCATAGGTATTGATATCTACTATGTGCCAGGCACTGTTCTAGAAAATGGTGATTCATGAAAACAAAACAGAATTATGAACATACATTCTAGATCAAAAAAAAAGTATACTCAAGAAAAACTATACAGCAGGGAAACTGATGGGTACCAATATTTGTGATTGATTAAAGCCTTTCTGAAAAAGGGACATTATAGTAAAAACAGAAAGAGAAAGTGAAGGACAGAGTCCTGTGAATAGAACCTGCTGGAAGATCAAGAATAGGACAAGAGGGTTGAGAAGTAACTGGGGAAAATTATGTGAGAGATTATGAAGAGATCTGCAAAATTAACCACAAAATAACTTGGCTTTTACTGTGAGTACAATGAGAAGCAATTAAAGTGCTTGACATAGAGGAGTGATATGACTTGTTTTAAGACATACTAGACATATTATAACAGGGTCCTTCAGGATGATATGTTGATGCAAGTTAGAAGTAGAGGGAGAACAGAAGCAGGAAAAAAAATTCTAAAACCAAAGTGAGAGCGGAGAGTGGCTTGGACGAGGATGCTAAGACCAGAAGCTATAAATATTGATCAAAGTCTGGGTCTATTTTTTAAGGAGAAATATCTGAATTTACTAATGTGAATCAGTACGAGCAAAATAGGACAGTTAAGGTACAACCTTGACTGTCCTATTTTGTCTTTTTCTGGCCCCAAAGACAGAATTTCCATTAATTAGGGTCAGGAAGACTTGCAGAGATTTGTACATGTTAAGCACGACATACCTGTTAAACATGAGAATGATCTCCTCCAATTTATCTTCCTCTCAGAGCCAGAGATGTCACTCTATGTGTACCACATCTCAACTGCTACCTATCAAGCAAGATGCAAAGTTTGTAAGATCTATATTGGATGAGTCTATGAAGTCACAATGACAAGAAATACCCAGAAACCCTGAGTGGGACTGTAGTTGGGGTGTTCCTAAATTTGTGCTTAAAGGAAGTGCGTGTTGGGATGGGGCAAGTGTCACTGGAATAATGGGATTGGTGACACCAACTATTCATTGAAGTCTCATATGAAAGTACATATGTTTTATTCATAATATAAAATAATAGTTATCACTACTAGTTAATATTTTCAAGTTTATTTATTTGTTCATTCCACTTCTCAATACTCCTTACAATTCAGATCCATAGAAACCACATTTCTGATATGAAGTATCAGGACCCTAAAATAGTGTTGATGACAGTAGAATCATATGAGAAATTCAATTATGAATTCATGTTTACTGGAAATATTTTAACAGGACCCCTCAGGCTGCAGAAAATTTTGCAGAAACAAAACAAAACAAAAAGTTGCAAAGTAGGTAAATGAATGGAGTTAGAGAAGATAATGCTAAGTGAAGTTAGCCAATCCCAAAAAACCAAATGCTGAATGTTTTCTTTGATATAAGGAGGCTGATTCATAGTGGGATAGGTAGAGGGAGCATGGGAGGAATAGAGGAACTCTGGATAGGGCAGAGGGGTTGGAGGGAAAGGGAGTGGGCAGGGGGTTAGCAATGATGGTGCAATGTGTATGATCATTACTATCCAAAGTACGTGTAAGATGACAAAAATTGTTGTGAATATACTATGTATACAACCAGAGATATGAAAAATTGTGCTCTATATATGTAATAAGTATTGTAATGCATTCTGCTGTCATATATAAATTTAAACATTTACATAAAAATCTGCAAAGTAAGCATAAATACAATATATTAAAATTATAAATTTTTTCCTCAAAACTGAATTTTCTTAGGACAATTAGCATACTAATAAAATTGTATTTTTTTACAGTTTTAATATGTGTTTATCATTAGCATTTGTTTTAAAGCTTTAAAGTATAACTGGATGAAGAAGTGATGCTAGAGTTTTTCAGAAGAGGAGGATAGAGATAAGGTAAAAGTATAAAAACAGAAAAGAAAAGATCCCCCCTTTAAGGCCAAGAATAAGGCAAGATGTCCTCCCTTGCCACTTTCATTCAAAATATTATTGAAGTTCTAACTGGAGCAAATAGGTAAGAAAAGAGAAGAGGGGTCCAAATAGCAAAGGAAGGAGTAAAATTATATCTATTTGCAGATAACACAGTTTTATATGTAAATAGCTCTAATTATTTCACAAAGAAATGTTAGAACTAATAAATTCAGCAAAGCTACACAAAAATCATAAGTGTTAACATCCACTAAGAACAAACTCTCTGAAAATTAAGAAGATAATTTCATTACAGTAACATCAAAAAGTATAAAATATTTAGGAACAAACTACAGAGGCAGAAGTCTTATACACTGGAAACAACAAAACATGGATGTAAGAAATTTAAACAGACACAAATAAATGGAAAAACATTCCATGGAGAAGAAGGAGGAGGAGGAAGATGAAGAAAAAGAAAAAGAACTGTTAAAATGTCCAGGCTATCCAAAGAAATCCCTAGAGTAAATGAAATCTCTAGAAAATTCCACTGTTACTTTTTTTTTGCACAAATAGAAAAAAAAATCCTAAAATTCATATGGGATAGCCAAAATAATCTTAAAACAAACAAACAAAAAAACAAAAACAAAACTGGGGTCAACAACTCCAAAACATATTACAAAGTCACAATTTTCAAAACAGTATGGAATTAGCATGAAGACAAATATATTGACCAACGGAACAAAAAAGAGCCCAGAAAAAAATCTCACATATGTGGTCAAAAGATCACTGACTGGGATGGCACAGATTTACCCTGGGCAAAGGACAGTTTAAGAAAAGCTGCTGGGAAAGCCTGATACCCATCTGTAAAAAACATAAATTAGACCTTTACACCATGACTAAAAATTAACTCAAAATAAGAGTAAAGAATGCAACACATGACCCGAAACTACAAAACTCCTACAAGAAAACAGAAGTAAATTTTTCTTATGTTGAGTTTGGCATTTGTTTTTTGTATATGGCACTAAAAGCTTTGGCAGCTAAAGCAAAAATAAATTGAACTACCTTATATACAGCCAAGGAAAGACTCAAAAGAGTGAAAAGCAACTTACAGGATTAGAAAAAATATCTACAGGGCTGGAGATGTGGCTCAAGCTGTAGCACGCTTGCCCAGCATGCGTGCGGCCCAGGTTCGATCCTCAGTACCACATACAAACAAAGATGTTGTGTCTGCTGAAAACTAAAAAATAAATATTAAAAAATTCTCTCTCTCTCTCTCTCTCTCTCTCTCTCTCTCTCTCTCTTAAAAAAAAAGAAAAAATATTTATAAACCCACACTTGATCAGAAGTTAATATCCAGAATACATAATAAAATCCCACAACTCAATGACAAAAGAAATATGATTATGAAATGAGCAGCAGACTTGAATAGACATTTCTTCAAAGCAGCTATACAAATAGTCAATAAGCATATGAAAAGATACTCATCTTTAATCATTAGGAACTACAAGTCATAATCACCATAAGACAGTAATCAAACACATTAGGATGGCCACTATCACACTATCAAGAATAATAATAAAAAATAACAAGTGTTTGTGAGAGATGGAGAAACTGGAATTCTACAGTGTTGGTTGGATATAAAATGGTGTAGCCATTATAGAAAAGTATATATGGAGCATCCTCAAAAAATTTAAAATAGAACTATCATATAATCTGATAATCCATCTTCTTATTACATGTATCTAAAAGAATTAAAATCAGAGTGTCTGAAAGATATTTTTGTATCCATATTCTTTACAATATTTTTCACAGCAGCCAAGAGGTGGATACAATCTAAATGTTCCTTATTGATGGATAAATGGATAAGGAAAATGTGGCATATACATACCATGCAATATTATTTTAAATAATGTTATTTTATATAAGTAATATATAATAATATACTAAATAATTGTTGTTTGCTTTAACACAGATAACCCAAAAGCATATGGTAAGTAAAAAATCCAATCACAAAAAAGAAAAATTCTTTATGGTTCCATTTATGGGAGGCATTTAAAGTACTCAAACTCTTTGAAACAGAAATTGGAATGGAAGCTGGGAAGACCAGGGGATTGGGGAAAGGGCAGTACTCCAGTGTTGTAGATGAAAACACTCTACAGATCTACTGTACAACCAAATGCACAAAGTTAACACCACTGTAACATGCTTAAGATTATTTCAGATAATGGGTTTTATGTATTTTTCCACAATAAAAAAAGCCTAGAGAGGACAAAATTTTAAAAAGTTTGAAAGAAAAGAGTGTTGTGCAGTAAGGAGTACTGTCAAATGGAATAAAAGACCTAGTTCCACTTCTCTACTGCAGGTTCTGTATGCCACAAGTTAACGAGCAAGCCCAGAGTAAAAATTGACTCTGAGCAAACCTCGAATTCCATTACTCCTCATGATCTCTCTATATGTCTGTCTGGGGACTGTGTAATAAAAAATGATGTGAAATTTTGAGTAGTTATGCAGTAGTACATTTTTATCAAAGTTTATTCATTTGTGTTCAAGTAAGAGTTTTGTTAAGCAGTATCATCCCTAAAGAAAAAGAGAACAGTGAAATACCATGTCCTTGAATGCCCTCTTTCTTTCTTTCTTTCTTTTTAATTTTTTATTGTTGGTTGTTCAAAACATTACATAGTTCTTGATATATCATATTTCACACTTTGATTCAAGTGAGTTATGAACTCCCATTTTTACCCCGTATACAAATTGCAGAATCACATCAGTTACACATCCATTGATTTACATATTGCCATACTAGTGTCTGTTGTATTCTGCTTTCCCCCAAAACCTAGCCAAGTTAAGAGAAAAGAGAGAGCAAGCCTGGGCTAGAAAGCCCAGATACACACTACTTTGAAGGACACTGGCTTTCTCTTATGCACGCTGGGAACTAGTGCAAGTTAATGTTGTCTGTAGAACGCTACTTCCCCACTTGTCTGCCAGGACAGTTGCTCCTTGGGATGCTGGTCATGCCAGCAAAGTAATGCTGATGATGTCACTGCTTCTGCATCCCCCTTTCTGAATGGGAATGTAGAACTGAGGGACTATGGAAAGGATACATGTTACTCATCCAGCTGGTCAAAAACCATGAGGGACAGGACACACTTGTTGGGAAAGTACTGTGAAGGACAGAGGTACTATTAGCCCCTCTCTTCTTGGAACAGCCTGATAAGTCTCCCCTGCTGTCTCTGGGCACTTTCTTTAGCCTGTCTGAAACTTACCCCACTGCCCTACAACAACTAGGCTCTTTGCCAAATTTGAATTTCCATTTTTTTTTCCTAAAACAAACCAAAAATAAATAAATAACATGTCCAAGATCCTTAGGACGACATTTGAAATTCTGATCTGGTCCCCATCAGCCTAATTTGCTTCTAATCACATTTCCTTTTCTGGGAAGACAAACATGTTTTCTTGATTTTTATGCTTCGTTCTGTCATCTCCTATTATGGTTTGGATCTTTAATGTCCCCAAAAAGCTAATGTTCAGAGGTGACATGGTTAGTTAGATTAAAAGAGTTGTAACTTCATCAATGTAGTAATCCATTTGATGGATTAATAATCTGAAAATACTTCTGAGTGGTAAACGACAGTGGGTGGGGCATGGATGCAGGAAATGGGTTCTGAGGGCATTCCCTGCACAATATCTTGTCCCTGGATCCTCTCTCAATTCCTGGCAGCCATGTCCTGAGCTTCCCCTCTGCCATATACTTCCATCATAATGTTCTGCCTCACTGCAGGCACAGAGCAATGAAGTCAGTTGGGCATGGATTGAATGTCTGAAACTGTAAACCCAAAATAACTTTTTCCTCCTCTAAGTTGTTCTTAGCTATTTTGGTCACAGTGACGAAAAGCTGACTAATACACCTTCCTTCCTACTGCT